AGTCACCAGTTTCATCAGCAAGTCAAAACACATGGAACCAGGAAGGGCAGGGGTCTTACCATCCTGTGGTCAAGCACCCCATACAGCAGTGGGGCATGGTTGTTGTCCTGGCTATACAGGTTCTTACTCACAACCTGGATGTGAGCCTGCTGGCGCATCTCCTCAGCTGACTTCATTCCAAAACAGATGTGGCTTCTGGAATGGAAAGAGATAGGGGAACAGTTACATCAAAACCACTTACCAAAAATAGCATTTATGCATATGACCCACCATAAGCAACCTTACCCTTCCAACTCCCTATAGGCTCTGCTCTCTCATTATTAAATGTCACTTCATCCTGCTGACTCGTTCCCTCTTAAGTTTCTTTTGTGGTCTCTTCTACTGCCTTCTCTTGAATATTGGCATCTCTCCCTACCTAGGGTTACAACCCTCAAACTTTTTTCATTCTACACGTTCTTTCTGAGTGGTGTCTGTCTAATCTCTATCTGCAGGCCAGCTATCTCCGCTCAGCTGGAGACCATACAGACACTTCTTCTGGACAGTTAACAGGCACCTCAAACTCAGCACATCTAAAACAAAGCCCGGAACTTTCTCTCCCAAATCTGTTCCTTGTTCATTTTCCAAAAAAAACTGGGGGTTTACGTATGATGTGCCAGGCACCATCCTCAGGGGCTGAGGATACAGATTAGATAAGACAGGGAATTCCCTGCCAACATGGGGCTCAATTTCAGGGAGGGCAAGACAGAGAATAAACAAATAGATACACAAAAGTGAATAGATGCAGGGGAGGAAAATGACGTGAAGCGGTAGAGGAGAGTCTGAGGAGACCATGTCGTGTGGCCAGAAAGTCTGGAAAATTGACATTTCCGCTGAATTCTGAATAAGAGGGAGCCAGCTGTAAGATTGCCCAACCAAGAAATTCTGTGTGTCAATCTCATTTCTCCCTTACCCATCCCTACCAATCCTGTCAATTTCACACCCCTCAAACTGAGAGAATGGCCATCATCAAAAAGTCTACAAATAATAAATGCCGGAGAGGGTGTGGAGAAAAAGGAACCCTCCTACACTGTTGGTGGGAATGTAAATTGGTACAGCCACTGTAGAGAACAGTATGGAGGTTCCTTTAAAAAGTAAAAATAGAGCTACATATGATCCTGCCATCCCACTCCTGGGCATATATCCCGAGAAAACTATAATTTGAAAAGCTACATGCACCCCAATGTTCGTTGCAGCACTATTTACAATAGTCAAGACATAGATGCAACCTAAATGTCCATCAACAGATGAAGGATAAAGATGTGCTGTAGATATATACAGATATATGCATATATATATATATTTACAAACACACCCACACAGTGAAATACTAGCCATAAAAATGAAAGAAATAATGCCATTTGCAGCAACACAGATGGATCTAGAGATTATCCTAAGTGAAGTAAGCCAGACAGAGAAAGACAAATATCACATGATACTGCTTATATGTGGGGGAAAAAAAAAGATACAAATAAACTTATTTACCAAATAGAAATAGGACTTTCCTGGTGGGGCATTGGTTAAGAATCCGCCTGCCAATGCAGGGGACACAGGTTTGAGCCCTGGTCCGGGAAGATCCCACATGCCGCGGAGCAACTAAGCCCGTGCGCCACAACTACTGAGCCTGTGCTCCAGAGCCCGCGAGCCCCAACTACTGAAGCCCGCGCGCCTAGAGCCCGTGAGCCACAACAACTGAGCCTGCGCTCTAGAGCTCACGAGCCACAACTACTGAGCCCGCGTGCAGCAACTACTGAAGCTTGTGCACCTTGAGCCCGTGCTCTGCAACATGAGAAGCCCGTGCACCGCAACAGAGTAGCCCCTAGTGGACGCAACTAGAGAAAGCCCTCGTGCAGCAACAAAGACCCAATGCAGCCAAAAATAAATAAATAAATAAATATATTTAAAAAACAAAACAGAAGTAGACCCACAGACATGGAAAACAAACTTATGGTTCCCAAAGGGAAAGGGGGGAGGAAGAGATAAATTAGGAGTTTGAGATTAAAGTATACACATTCTATATATAAAATAGATAACCAACAAGAACCTACTGTATAGCACAGGGAACTATCCTCAACATTTTGTAATAGCCAATAAGGGAAAAGAATCTAAAAGAGAATATATATATATATAATTGAATCACTGTACTGTACACCTGAAACTAACACAACATTGTAAATCAACTACACTTCAATTAAAGAAAAAAAAAGATTCCTCACTGCCTGCAAGATGGCTCTGAAACAAAGCTTCAAATCTACTTCCTTCTCATCACTATACTTTCTCCCTCCTGTAGGCTCCTGGAAGAAGGCTGTTCTGCCTGAACCCCTTGCCCACCTGTGCTGTCAGAACCCCCTATGCCTACCCTTGTCCTCGCACTTGTCCTATCCAACGTTGACTTGTCTACCTTCTCCAACTAGACTAGGCAGTAAGGTCTTACTCATGTCATATCTTCATGTCTATCATCGGGGCCAGAACACAGTACCTTCCTCACTAAGCATCTACTACAAGAATGATTGATTTGTTTCTCTACTGGAAGGTCTAAGGAGAGGTTGTGGCCTACTAAATTAGCTCTGAAGAAGGTCCAGAATAACAGCCTCATTTCTGAGACTGCTATCCATCTGCCTGTGATACAGCTTTCTAGCTGGCAACTCCATTCTTTTGGTCAGCAAATACTACCTCCGTGTCATGTGCTCTGCAGCAAAATGAGTCCCCGCCCCAGGTCGCTCCCATTCATTGCAATGACCAAAGATTCGCTGAAAGGGGTCATCGTCTCACCTCAGGAGAACTCGAGCTTCGGCCCATGGTGCACGGATCGCCAAAGTTCCCACCACATCCCCCAGGTTCCCACCACATCCCCCCTTCTCCGCCCAAGGAACCACCCCTGGCCTGGGTTCCCCAGGTCGTGAAAGCCCTCTGCCCGATCAATATCCATTAATCTAACCTGATACTCCTGAACTGTGCCCACACCTCCCACTGATTCCTGGCCCTTCCCTTCCAACCGACCTCACCTCTGACCCTTCCCTGACCTCGGACCCCTCTGCCCCTAATTTCTCTGCTCTTCGGGGAGTTTTGCTCCATCTTACATTTTCTTGGCCACATCCGTCTCCCGGAACTGCTCCTTCACCATGGTGACGGCTGCCGGAGCTCCCTCCTCGAGACTCGCTGAGCTAGATTAGAAATACGATGCTCACAGCACCCGCCCGGGACTAATTCTTGACTGGTTGCTAACACATCCCCGGCATTTTTTCGGCCACCGTAGCTCGCCCCACGTGCCCGCCTCCACTTCCGCTACTCGCCGGCGCTTCTGTCTGTTAAGAGAGGCTCCGAACACGCCGCTTTTCGCCTTCTCTCTACACTGCCATCTGGCGGCACCTCCTTGAAACTGTACCGAAACCTTCATGGTATTTTCAAGGTCCGGTTTCCGGTCCATTTCTTCTTGTCACCTGACACCTGCAAAGAAACTACAACCCCCCTGCCTCAAAACTTTTAGAAAACCAGAGAGCCAAAAATTGCATACAATGGAAAATCGTCTTATCAACATCAATACCATCTTAATTAAGAGCCTCTAATTATTTAAGGAAAGGTGGAGGCTAAAATGAACCTGCCTAAGGAACAGAGGACTTCATCTAGATTATCTAGAAAGGAAGTAAACAGGGCAGAAAACACGGCCATGCATACACCTCCAGTTCACAAAGTTATTTTGGAAAAGAAGAAGAATTAAACTTATATTATTGATTACAAAAACAGAAGATGAAAATCTGTGGGTTTAGTGTGAAAAGTGAGCCATGCTGAGCTAGGGAAACAAGATGAAGGGAGAATAGGAAGCGATTATTCATGTACTGAGGAAATAAATTTCTTATCTCACACCTCACACCCTGTGGGAGGTGATCCTAGTGTGACATCTTAGCGCATGATACTAGAGAGAAAACCATTCCACCATAGGACTCAGGGCTACAGAACCTGAAACTTACTTCTTTACTATTTGTGAGAAACTCTAAACAGAAACCAATAAAGTGGTTCAACACTTTTGAATTTTAAGGGATGCTGTCTTCAAACTTTATGGATCCCCACTAGTAAAACATGTCACAGACAGAAAGCAAAGCAAACCAGATTTTCCTATTTCAGCAGTTAATATATCTTTGAAGATTTGGTGAGTGATTTTCATTATCTAGAAGTTAAAAACAAAGATTCTGGAACCACAGTATCCATGGGTGTTTAGGCACTACTGCTTAAAAGTTGAGCGACCTTGGGAAAGTTCCTTAACCTCGTGCTGTCATAGTTTCCCCATCTATAAAAGGGATAAGTAATATGTACCCTAATTCTTAGAGTTGGTGGGAAGGTTAAATGGCAAAATAAGGGTAAAAGTACTCAGAAAGTAACAGACACATAGCAGCGCTCTCAAAAGCCTGCAACCTGATTTGTCGGTCTCTGAACCTGCATGCTTATGTTCTTTATTGTTACACGTATGTCTCACTGTAAACTAACAAATTTCTCTATCAAGCAGATACTTATTAAAAGCTCACTTTTGTGGGGATTAAGATTTTTCAGAAAAAGACAAATTAAAGAATTTTTTATTTTTAATTAGAAAATCAGATTCTCTAAGCTCAGAAAAAATAAATTAATTAAATAGCAATAAATTAAAACGGTCAGTTTTGCGTACTTGAAATAAAAGTTTGAGTCCGGGTTTCTGCAGTTTCCCTAGCAGTAAAATGAGGAGGCTGGTCGAGAGGACCTCCAAGGATGCCTTCGAGCTTCACCAACCTCTAACGCGGTTGGAGGGGAATTAACTTTAATCCGGTTTACCGGAATTTTAAGTAGAGACAGTTCAAGATAACGAATTGAAGTGGAACACGTGCTTGCGTAAACCTGGTCGGCCCAAACTGTTCCCCCTCCGGATTGGCCGTTCACGTTCCGGGGGTGTGGCGAAAGAGCGAAGAAAGCAGATCTTATACACTTTCAATCAGGCATTAGCGCGGTCGGCCTCGTGGTCTGGCCACGCCCCCACGCCTGCGTCTCCCGGGGTCCTTCCGTGAGCGTTGATATGATTGGCCGGCGAAACATAGTCCTCTTTTCCTTCCTGGCTGCTTGACGATCAGCCGCCATTATGGTGAGTCTTTGCGGATCCAGGGATCATCCAACGCATATCTGGGCCATCCTCCGTCCCCTGGTCCCGCCGTTAGCACTACGGCCGCCCGAAGCCCGATTGCTCTTCCCTGGCCGTGTCTGACGGAGGCCGGTTGCCGAGGGCCGGGGAGCCGCCGGCGGGGAGTCCGGGCTGCGCTGTCGACCCAGACATGCCGGGCTTCGGAGTCCTCGGAATGGGGACTGCGGGAGCGGCTGCTGCGTTTGTCGGCTTCGTGGAGTCTAGTGGGTGGGGTGGGGTAGGGTGAGGAGAGACACATCGCACTTGAACGCTTAATTTGGGGTAGGCGGTTCGCCGGTGAAGGCAGCCCAGGAGGAGAAGAGGGTGTCGGCAGCGCCCGGGCGTGTTGCGACGACTGAAACCGTTCCCACGTGTAAGCTAGAATATTGTCAGCCGAATGGATTCTCTTGTTTCACAGGGGGGAAACAGGCCCCGGGAAGAGGAGCCACTTTAAGGCTTGCCATGTCACGATTAGCTCATTAGAAGGTTCACCTGTTTTTAACCCCACTCTATCTGCGAGCTGTTTTTCCCTTGACCCTTACTTTCAAGAATCGAATATTGTTGAAGTGAACTTAGTGTGGTATGGTTTTTCAGACTGCAGTCGAAAATTAGTCAATCTACTATGAGAGCTCTTCTTTTTGGTGAATTATTTTAGTGTAAGCATGCTGAATGCCCACATTCCTTGGTAGTCACTCATAGTGTAAAAGAGCAACGGGGCCATTCAGAAGGGGGTACAGTTTTTTTTGTGGGGTGTAGCGTTGGTCATTCAAGAAGGGTAGTTTACAAGGAGGTGGTGCAATGCTTGTCACATCTGTGCAGGATGCAATAAACAGGCTGCCGTGACGATAACATTTATAGAGTCACAGCTTTACTCCAGAGAAGTAGGCTTTAACTGGGGGTGATTTTTTACCTCTGAGGGGACAGTTGACAAAATCTGAATACATTCTTGGTCACAACTGGGAAGCGCAGGTGCTACTGGCATCAAGTGGTTAGAGGTCAAAGATGCTGCTCCACGGTCTAAAATGCACTGGACAGTCCCCCCCTCTGGACCAAAATACCAGAGGTTTGAGAAACCTTGCTGCAGAGTGATTTCTGTAATGAAGTGAAGTAAGGCATTTCCAGACTTAAAATCTTGATGGATTCAGAATGTGGCTGTTGAGTGTTTTCGTGATGCTGTTTTTGTGATGGGGTGACCTGTGAGTTAGGCACTGTGCTAAGTGGGTTAGGAGGAGATGGGAATTTGTGCATTTTTTTTCTTTTATTGAAGCTTTTTTGCCACTAACCCATGTGACTCCTGAATATTTGAAATGTGGTTCCTGCAGCTGAGGAATTGCGTTTTAAATGTTGTTTATTTTTAATTAATTATCCACAGATGGATAGCCACAGGGTCTACTGATTTGGACATTGCAATTCTAGCTCTTGGAAAATCACAGCGGGTCAAGAAAAGGTTGAATGGTTTTATTAATGAGCGTTGTTATGTTTTCAGAACGACACGGTAACTATCCGCACAAGGAAGTTCATGACCAACCGACTACTTCAGCGGAAACAAATGGTAAGGAAGGGTACGTCAAAAGTTGGTTGTTATTCAGTTTCGAAGATGTATTTCATTATAATAAACACTAAACTTGGTAATCTTTTTAGGTCATCGATGTCCTTCATCCTGGGAAGGCAACAGTACCTAAGACAGAAATTCGGGAAAAACTAGCCAAAATGTACAAGACCACACCAGATGTCATCTTTGTGTTCGGATTCCGAACCCATTTTGGTGGTGGCAAGACAACTGGCTTTGGCATGATTTACGATTCCTTGGATTACGCAAAGAAGAATGAGCCCAAACACAGGCTTGCAAGAGTAGGTGTCCTATCTGTTCAACAGCTGCTAAAGACATTTTTTCAGTAACATTGTGTTGTGCGTGCAGTGGAGTGAGCAAAAGCAAGCAGTCTGCAGGGGGACAACATACTAAAGAACTCTTAAGGGGTTGAGAGAAAAGGTTCTTTGATGAAATGCACAGATAGTTCTGAACAGGAGTTCAGAATGGGGTCTGCAGGATTTGAGGAGGTGACATTTGAGCTGGGTCTAGAAGAGCAGGTAAAGCAGTGCTCCTAGAGGTAGGAACTGGAAGTAGGTAGGGGGATGAGTTTAGACAGGTAGGTTGGCACCAAATTAAGTGAAATCTTTATTCCCAAGCATCTGAGTTTGGGCTTAACTTCATAGGTTGCCAGGAACCATGAAAGCTTTTGGATCACTTCCTGAGTACCAAGCACTACACAATGACCTACAGTTAACCGTTGAACAACACGGGTTAGAATTATGAAGGTCCACTTACGCGCAGATTTTTTTCAGTAGTAAAATCTGTATTACGGCGATCCGAGGTTGGTTGACTGCACAGATGCGAAGGGAAGTGTGGATGTGGAGGGCCAGTTGTAAGGTATAATCAGATATTCAACTGTGTTGAGGGTTGGCACCCATATTTGTGCAGTTGTTCAGGGCTCAACTGTACAGCAGTAGACTGGGCAAACTCCCTAGCTTATATACTAAATTGTGAATGAGCAAATGAATTGTTACTTTGAAATAGTTCTTGTGTCTGCCCCCTTTTAACTTTTTTTCCTCCTTGCTATTAGGTAAAATCTTTCCATTGAATAGGTATGTGGTAGATAGATGCTGCACTCTTTTTTTTTTTTTTTTTTTTTTGCGGTACACGGGCCTCTCACTGTTGTGGCCTCTCCTGTTGTGGAGCACAGGCTCCGGACATGCAGGCTCAGCGGCCATGGCTCACGGGCCCAGCCGCTCCGCGGCATGTGGGAGCTTCCCGGACCGGGGCATGAGCCTGTGTCCCCTGCATCGGCAGGCGGACTCTCAAACACTGCGCCACCAGGGAGGCCCTGCACTCTTTTAATTGGGTGGTCTGGGAGACCTGGCTGAGGTGAAGTGAAGCCGAGTTCCTTGTAAAGATAGGGGAGCATTCCTGTAGGCAGTAGGAAGAGCAAATGCAGAAGTGGGCAGAGTGAAGATGAGTAGCTGGATGCTGTCTCCGTGGGGGGTGTAGAGTTCTTGGGAAAGATTCCTCTGTCAGCTATGAGTAGGAAACGGAGTTGAAATGGAAGAGACCCTGAAAATGTGGAGGCCTAGCGAACTGTAGGCTCCGAACCATAGCAGCATGCACGGAGCGTTGAGTGCACACTTCTCCTGTGCTGTTTTCTGTTCGTGCTGTCTCAATTTAATGACCGTTTCTCTTCTAGCACAAACAAGTATTGTTAAATGTACTTGAAGAGTGTTGACTTCTGAAGCTGTATTTCTTGAGCTCCAGCCTGGTCACTTTCCCTACCGGATTAGTATGTAACGATGTTGATGTTTGCAAGTCACCTATGTGTATACGTATATATATTCCTTTCTTTTTCAGCATGGCCTGTACGAGAAGAAAAAGACCTCGAGAAAACAGCGAAAGGAACGCAAGAACAGAATGAAGAAAGTCAGGGGGACTGCAAAGGCCAATGTTGGTGCTGGCAAAAAGGTATAGTTTATCAAGGGAAATACAGAAATGTCAATTCCAGGTTTTTAGTTTGTAGAAAGGTGGGGTTTTGTTTTCTTAATAACCTTTCTTAATGTTTCTTCTTTTCCGACTTCTTCTGGATTACAGAAGGTAACCTGTTTTGAGAAGCCACGTAATGTAGTATCTTAACACCGCAGTAGAGTAGCTTTGCCCACCCCTTGTTAGCTCACAGATTAGCACAACATGGGGCCACATCGGTTCAGTGATCGGTAGAGTGATCCTGGTGGGTGCCTGGCAAGTCCTATCAGGAAAGTTTTCATTTTACTGCTAATTACAAAGATTGTTAAAGGGGGAGCAGATCTAGTTTCCCAAGACTTATTTTCTTAAAATTGACAACTGATTGAAGAAGCAGCTGAATCAATGTGGCCCATGTTTTCCTGGCATGCTGGAGAGGTAGCACAGTTCTTCATTGCTTTCCTCTCCAGTTAGTCAGGACTTAAGTGATTTTAATGATGAGCTTTTTACCAGCTTTGCTAGCTAATTGTAAGTAGTTGAATGGAATTAAGGTGTTGGGTTGTTAAATTAACAAATAATCAAGTGTTCTGTGAACTTTTTTTTTTTTTTTGCCTTTTTCCTCTACTTTCTTGGAATTCTTGTTCATCAGAAATGAAGTGTCTAGCAGGTACTGAGATTGTGAGCACGGTGTGGGGATGCATCACCTTCACTAAGTTTGCTTTGATGCTTTGCATGTTGGCTTTCGGAAGAGAGTTTTGTAGTATAGTCTATTATAACACCACTGCTACGGTTTAAAGTAGTATATTATGGGCAAAGGAGAAAAACTTTAAATGACGTTTATTTTGGAAACTCAAAAATGCATGTTAAGTTGTGAAGTGCCCCAGTGGAGGAAGGTAGCCGCTTTTAACTGGCACTTGGGAAATGCTGTGTTCCAGAGTACCACCTACCCAGGAAATGGCTTTACTTAACACAGGGCTTGGGAAGGATTCACTCATCCAGTCATGAGCAGTCTTTCCCTTGGGGACTCTGGAGATTGGTTGATTCTCTGGCAGCTTTGGTGATAAACTGGTCCGGAAAATCTGGCAAAGCCTCTGTCCCAGGAGCACACACCGAAAGCTGCCTTTTACTGTCTCCTTTACTGTCCCATTGCTTTTTATTAGTTGATCTCCAGCTTTCCACCTGATGCCCTTTTTTTTATTGGAAAATTTCCAAGATAATTGAATATTCACATCAAAGCCTTTGATAAATACGCTTTTCCCACAGGTACTTAAAATACTTTTGCACATCTGAGCAGCCTAAAGCAGTAACATGTAAAGTGGGCTGAGAGTGGGTTGGGACTAGTAAGGTTTTGAAACAGTGGTGGTCACCGCTCGACATGCTTCCTCTCACCGACATGCTTCCTCTCACCGTGACTCCCCGCCAGACCAGGCCGTAAACCTGGTGTGCCTGCTCTGGGCTGTAATCCCGTTGACTTCCGGGTGCCATGGCGTTGTAATGGACTGCCAGAGGAACTGCTTGCTGCTTAGTTAGAATAACTGCTCCCTCTGTGAGGCTTAGTATACTTGTTGACAGAAGTTCCAGAAGTTGAAAAACAGTCAATATTTGTGTTCTGATCTAGATCTGAAGAACTTTTTTACACATTGTTTTCTTCATTCAGCCTTTGAGTTACGTGTGTTAGTGCTCAGCGGTGACGTGCAGAGTTTAGCCCTGTGGGGACCTGAGCTATCACTATTCCTTGCTTCAGGTTGCACTAGTGCAGGAATGCATAAATGAGCACGTGTATTCTTTGGCTCAAATAAAAAAAGGCATAGTAATGTCCCTTGAACTTAGATGTTGGAATCCAGATGTTGGAGTTGCACCTTTCGGGTATAATAGAGTTGTTTTAAATTACGGAGTAGTCTCATGTTTGAAGAGCAATTGAATTTTTTTTACATCAGCTGAGTTCTGCCTTTTTAAATACTAATTCACACTACTTGTGTTGATTGTGAATGGTGGCTTTTAAAGTTCTGAACTGAGACAGGTTTGAAAAGACTTGCTCGATCATTTAGAGCTCTCCCCTTGTGGTTAAATTAGACTTCAGTCTGCGATGATTCTCAGGTCTGTTGATGGTGCTAGCGTGCCCAGCACAGTGTTGCTGAGCAAAGCAGAGGCGCCTTCCTGTGTAAGTAGGCAGTGGCAGCCTACGAACCATAGTAATCAGGCAGGCTGTTCTCAAAATTGGGTGGAATAAAATCAGTGAGTGTGTCTAGGGAGTGCTCTTTATACAATTGCAAAGAACAAAATAGTCATTAAGGTATCTGATTGCATGCAGATTATTTAGGAGTTTGAAAGGGGACTATTAATGAAATGTTTCTTTTCCCTCTTCCCTCCTTTCCCCCTTCCCTGCCACTGATTCAGTGAGCTGGAGATTGGACAACAGGTATAATTCAAGCTTTTCGTTTAGATTGCTAGACTCCTTGGTTGACAGTCATTAAAAATAGAGCATGTGAAATGATTTAGAAGTATATTTACAAATGCTCTCAAGAGTTGTGCCCCTTAAAAACTAGCAGTGACAAGGTTTTGTTGTCAAAACTTGTTTTTTGTCTCATCCCTAACTTGAATGTTTGTGAGTTTTATATCTTGATGCTTACATTGTTTTAAGATCACACAAACTTAATATGGTCTAGGTTACTAATGTTCATTCTGCATGAGTGTCATTAATTTTGGGGTTTGTTGAAGACTTTGAACTTTAATTTTTAAAGGCAGTTGCTAACTAAATTTTTCTTTTTCTTTAATTCACAGAAGGAATAAAGACTCTGCAGTGACTGTGTCTGTGGTGATTGTGCAGATTTTTCATGAGAGAGTTAATAAACTAAGACTTTTTACATATCTGGTTGTTTGGAATATATTTGAAGTTTACTGGGAGTGCTGTAAAATTGGTTTGCTGTTTAACAGATTTAGAGTGCTGCCCAAGTTCACATGTTCCATTAAGCATTCAGTGAAAACTTGCTATGTTGGGGTGGTGTTTGTCCTTCCCTTTAATGGCACAAAGATGTCAGGGTGTAGAGTATTGGCAGCGTGGGAGCATGTAGGGCCAGTCTGGTGTGCTCATGTTAATACTTGGTATTATAGTTGGTCAGTCTCTGAAAGAGACTCTTGAAACCTGAATTCCTTTTTGGTTTTACTAGAACCCCACTTAGTCTTTGTTACGGAAAAAAAATTTGCTGGCCTTGATAGAAATTAAGTTACTAGATTACATTCTCATCATTTATCCTGAAGTAAACAGCGTCTGTCAAAATTGTTATTTGTCTGTTGCGGGCTTGTGCTTATGTGATAAATGAGTGGTTTATTGTGGGTGGGGAATTTGAAAAAGGCTCTAGAGTGGTGAATATTTGTGTGTAATGTGTAATTGCTTGGTAAATCTGATTGTGCATGGGTTTTATGAAGCATTGAGGGTTATCTAGTGCTACTTTTTCTTTGCCAGATGCTTATTCTCACACTGGCTTTTTTAGGCGTCAAGGTTGAGAACCTGAAATGTGGGTTATTGGTCAGTTGTGTGGGGTTGGGGGATTTGAGGAGGGGGTTGTTTGAAGGTTGCTGGGGGGTTGGGGTGCCATTTGAGAGGATAAGAAACATGAGTAGGAGAGCTTGGGTGTTTGGGAGGGGACAGAAGAGGCATTAATGGTTCATGGGTTTTGGATGTCATTCTTCCCTGAGGTTGGTGTGTGATTGGTTTCTATCTTAAGTGGGTCCTGTAGGAGTCAGGCTTATAAATGCTATTAAGAACTGTGTCAGTGGATGGAAAGCTTCAGAGAAAACTCAGGAAGCAGTAGAGGACTGCTTAGCTGGTTGGGTTGAAAGGGGAACCAGGAAAAAGCAAGAATCATGATAGCAGAAGGCATGTGAGGGTTGTAGAAAGGAGTGGTTGGATATTTTGCAGAGAGCATGGTGAGAGGCCTTGACTTGAAGAAGGAGCTATAGCCTGGGAGGGCAGGGATGTGACCAGGTAAGTGAGGGGCCTGAACCTGCTGGCCCAGGGTGCAGAGGGCGGGGTGGGTGTAGTTCCGTTTGTGGCTCTGCTGAGGCTGCATACTTGGGTTTGTGGAAACCATGGCCTTGTGGGTTCCCTTGCTAGGGAATCTGCTTTGTGCTCCCTTAATAGGACCAGGAAATAAGATTAGATGGTCTACTTGTATAGGAAGAGTTTGGAGGAGTGGGGGATTTAGGTCTGCACGCTTCTGTTTCCACCAAAATGGCTAATGGGTGGTGTGGAATCCCCAAGGGATTTGAGGCGAGTGGCATTTTTAAATGAGCAGTGTGTGGAGGCCAGAGATCATCCATGCCTGGTGGAGATGCAGTTCCCCAGGACTGATCTAGGCTGTGCAGGTGCAGAGATAGGCTGGTGAGCAGCATGTAGGGGCAAGAAGCAGAAGATGCTGGGAGAGGTTGTATTTGGGATGGCTCAGGACAGGACAGGAGATGAAGCCGAGCAATGGTGGGCGGGGGTGGGGGGTGACCCCAGGGGCCTGTGGTCACAAAGTTCAGGAGCAGGGCTAAAAGAAGCAATGGAGCAAGAACAGAAGGGTAGGAGGTGGTTTTCAGAGTGAGGTACTAGGTGTTGGTGTGAAGACGGGGCACAGCTGCAGGGAGCCTGATGAGGTGAAGTTTGGCAACCAAGTCACAAGGTCCGTAAGCTTTTCCATTGGGATATGCTCGGGGAGGGCAAAGTTTGCAGTCATTCAGCCAGTAGTCTCTTTGAAGGGAATCGTGATTAACTCTGGTTGAGCCTGTTTTTCTAGGGGAACTGCCTGGGCTAGGATATTACAAACGTCACGAACTGGCAGTCTTTTGTCAGTAAGCTTTGTTGGACAAGCAAAGCATTTCAAAATAGGACAAACCGTACATGAAGATCCAGATTCCTAGCATCTTGAGTTATCAGAAGAATCAACAGCAGGCCCACCTTCCTGCATGGTGACAGTTGGCAAGGTTAGAGGGTGGGCTGTGTGCCTCAGGGTAGGTGTTTGTTCTGTCATCCCCCGTGGCCTCTGCTCCTGCAAGCTAGCCTGCACCCTTGTCCACCTGCCCTCTGGTCTTGTGTCCCCTCTGCATGCCGCTTAACTTCCATCTAGTCCAGCTGGGTGTCTGGGCAAGTTGCGTGGTCTCCTGATTGGGTTAACTTCTCTTTAAATTGGGGCCCCCAAGGGTACTTTCTCTGCTGACCTGACGCAAGGCTATTTTGAGTCTCAGATGATAAAGCATCTGTGAGAATGGTTTGGAAACTGAAGTGCTGAGCAACTGTGTGACGGGAAGCAAGGACTAGCGTTCAGTTGTGCACAGTTGTGCTGTGGAACTCTAGGATTGGAGATTCAGCACTTTGTCGGCCCTGACATTAACCAGACCATACTGCTGTCAACAGGCTTTGAAAGAGCCTCCGTGGAAATGCAAAGTTGACTTTACTCATCAACAGTCAGGGAGGGCACATCCCTTCCCTCAACTTGGCACTTGTGAGAGGCTGTTGCTTCATGAGGGTAGCAAGGAAGAGTCTGGCGAGAAGTTTAGAACTGCACCCCTTTGTTCCACTTGTAGCTGCATGTGCCCAGGTAGCCAGCGTTTAACTGCTCTGTTCTCTTCCCTCCAAAGAAGAGGTTGAATGGCAATTTGATTATTCTGGGCTCTCCTTAAAGGTAGCATCTTGACAAATACACCATACTCTTGTAGCTGAGGCAGTTACTGTATAAACAATTACTTCCTTTAATCTGTACAATAATCCTAAGAGGCAGGTCTCATTGGACCCATGTTGGAGAGGGTTTAGAGCAGTTAAGCAACTAAGTAGTGGGGTGGGATTAGAATGCAGTTGTCTGACTGCAGTCTTTGTTGTGCATTTACCCATTGTTAAATGTTAATTGAGCAACTTTCTTCCACAGGGTGTATAATGGTGTGCAAGACTATACCTACTATGTACTGTATTTGTCTAAGTTAGGGTGCCTGTTGCCAGTAGTGTTACTGAACCAAGTCATAGATGACCATCTGAATTCCCCATTTACTGAACCTGCTGTGCGCACTAGTCCCTGTTCTGGTAGCTCGGGAGATGGGTGAAGAAGCTGTCCCTGCCCCCAGTGCTCAGAGGGGCTTAAGCACCTTGTCTGGGGTCTCATGGCCTGGTTTCTGCTCCTTACCATGAAGCAGCAGACTGTAATTATGTTAGGTTGGGTGGTGGGAATCCAGAGGTGAGCAAGTCTTCCAAGAGTAACACTAACTGGGGTAAAATGTGATCTGATCTGGGCACACGGGAGCAGGTGTCTCACTGGGGCTATGAAAGTAGAGAAGGATCACATGGAGATGCACCAGTCATCCTGCAGGGGAAGAGTGGAGATGAGGTGGGAGAGTGTGGGAGCAGAGTGCAGGTAGGCTTTGTCATCCTCAGTGAGGTGCAAGGCGCTGTGGTGACTGGTGGCTTCCAGCAGAGTGTTGCCCAAAGCATTTGTGGTAAGAGAAATTCTATTTCAAAAATAGACTTCAGGTTGGCTGCAAGAGCACAGAGGTGTGACGATTGATTGATTGATTGATTTTTTAACATCTTTATTGGAGTATAATTGCTTTACAATGGTGTGTTAGTTTCTGCTGTATAACAAAGTGAATCAGCTATATGTATACATATATCCCCATATCCCCTCCCTCTCGCGTCTCCCTTCCACCCTCCCTATCCCACCCCCAGGTGGTCGCAAAGCACCGAGCTGATCTCCCTGTGCGATACAGCTGCTTCTCACTAGCTATCGATTTTACATTTGGTAGTGTATATATGTCCATGCCACACTCTCACTTCGTCCCAGCTTACCCTTCCCCCTCCCTGTGTCCTCAAGTCCATTCTCTGTGTCTTTATTCCTTTCCTGCCCCTAGGTTCTTCAGAACCTTTTTTTCTTTTCTTTAAGATTCCATATACATGTGTTAGCATACGGTGTTTGTTTTTCTCTTTCTGACTTACTTCACTCTGTATGACAGACTCTAGGTCCATCCACCTCACTACAAATAACTCAATTTTGTTTCTTTTTATGGCTGAGTAATATTCCATTGTATATATGTGCCACATCTTCTTTATCCATTCATCTGTTGATGGACACTTAGGTTGCTTCCATGTCTTGGCTATTGTAAATAGAGCTGCAGTGAACATTGTGGTACATGACTTTTTTTTTTTTTTGCAGTATGTGGGCCTCTCACTGTTGGGGCCTCTCCCATTGCGGAGTACAGGCTCCGGACGCGCAGGCTCCGCGGCCATGGCTCACGGGCCCAGCCGCTCCGCGGCGTGTGGGATCTTCCCGGACCGGGGCACGAACCCGTGTCCCCTGCATCGGCAGGCTTACCCTCAACCACTGCGCCACCACGGGAGCCCCTATGACTCGTTACGGTTTTCTCAGGGTGTATGCCCAGTAGTGGGATTTCTGGGTCATATGGTAGTTCTATTTTCAGTTTTATAACGAACCTCCATACTGTTCTCCACAGTGGCTGTATCAATTTACATTTCCACCAACAGTGCAAGAGGGTTCCCTTTTCTCCACACCCTCTCCAGCACTTATTGTTTGTAGATTTTTTTTTTAAAATAATATTATTTGGGATCTCAGAATTCTTACTGAAATACAGAACTGTACTTCTTTTTAACAGGACACAGAAAGAATGAGGGATAATTGTAACTTTGAGGACTAAATTGTTTCAGATTTTCCTAAAGATTATAAGAAAAAGTATTAATCATATCATTGGTTCCAACCGGTGTGAGGTGATCCTCATTGTAGTTTTTTTTTTTTTAAATTATGTATTTTTGGCTACATTGGTTCTTCATTACTGCATGTGGGCTTTCTCTAGTTGAAGTGAGTGGGGGCTACTCTTGTGGTGTATGG